TGGTGGGTTTGAACCACCAGCCTTCTGGTTAGCAGTCAAGTGCCTTAGCCACTACACTACCAGAGCTCCTATTATGTTATTAGGAAATTTAATATATGAGTATTTTATTCTATCTTGATTAAAATTTAAATTTAATGAAGCAGCTAATACATGAATACATTCTTCTCATAATAGAGTCAAACATTTTAGATAAGATTAAAAGCTCTTTGAGCCCTTTATCTCAACACCCACTGACAGGTATTCTTTCTTTCACCTCCAGGCTGTCAACACCCATCTGATCTCCCAGTCTCTGGCCTTGGGGTCAATCTGAATGTCAGCTTCCTTTCAAACAGTCATTTTTGCTAAATATTTTCTTTAAGTAAATCAGGGCACAAAAAGACATGGAACGATATATTAAAACTGATTCCCAAACCATAATCTCTATTATTTTTTTGTCAGAAGTAGTTTATCGCCATGCCAACAGAATGGCAGGATGATAAAACAAATCAAAATGCTTCCACTACAGACAGGTGCTACCTTAATATATCAGACTTTTACCCTTGTTTCTGAATAGGATGATAATTGGAGACTTTGATTTGTGAAATAAAACTAACTCACTCACTCACTAGGAGCACTGGTAGCATAGTGCCTAAGGCACTTGACTGCTAACCAGAAGGCTGGCGGTTCAAACCCACTAGCCACTCCTTGGAAGGAAGGTTCGGCAATCCTACTTCTGTAGTGATACTGCCTCAGAAACCCAAGGAGGGGTCACTATTAGTCCGGGCCGACTCGACGGCACATAACAACAACAACTAACTCACTGCCATCTAATCGAACCCGACTCATAGCGACCCCTCCTTGGGTTTCCAAGGCGATATCACTACAGAAGTAGATTGCCCAACCTTCCTTTTTGAGGAGTGGCTATTGGGTTTGAACCACCACCCTTCTGGTTAGCAGTCAAATGCCTTAGGCACTATGCTACCAGAGCTCCCTTATGAAATAATTGAGGTAAAATAAGCTCTTGCCTAGTGGTGGGAAGTTCTAGTTTTAATAGTGAATAAACAAGTGCACCATTTCTTCATATCCCATGGTTTGATAGTCAAATATAAAACCCATTTTAGGGAGAGAAAGAGAATAGACCCTCCCTAACTTAATGCCATAATTCAGAATTTATATTTAATTGGAAGACAATTGGATTGATGTTTATCATCTCTATATAAAATATTTGCTGAGTTACTCTTATCAATTAATGAAAAGAACTCATTTAAGTAATTACAGAACAAAATATTTTCTTTATTCCTTAAAGGTAATCATTAGCACAAAACTATAAAATAAGTAACAAATGTTCTTATCTTAGGAAAGTTTCTGAAAGTACTTCAAAGCAACAAAGATGTGCATTTCTTTTTAAAAAACATAATTCAGATCTCTCACTATTTGGATGATTTCTTTTCCATGGTGAATATAATTGATTTATTGATCCTTTCTTCTATTTCCTAATATTGGAGTAGAATGGACATTAATACTAACACAGTGCCACTGGCCCACTGATGAAAGAGCACAAATTTTTAACCATGTTTATACTGAGGTAGTTTGCTGGGCACCCTGTTTTGCCTTGTAACTAATTGCAGTTATTTGGGCAATACCTAGCTGAGGTACTGCGTGGTGTCAAAGGGTCTATACCTGCAGAGAACCATCCTCCTTTTTACAAAGCCAGTTACTCTTGTAAAATTAATGAAAATAACTCATTCAAGTAATTATCCACTCAGGTCCTAAACTCACTCCCGGTGCAGTGACTCCATGCCCTCCCCAGCTAAACTGACCTTCCGTGGGAATCTATATAAGCATATACTTTCAATAGGAAGTCTTACCAAAAAAAAAAAAAATGTAAATTATAAATAAGAAAATGCAGATGGTTCAAACCTCACTCTTAAGAGAAAAACATACTAAAAAATACACCAGGAAACCATTATTCACCTTCCAGATTGGCAGAAATCCCGCAGTTTGAGATTACACTTTGGCAAGGCTGTAAGGAAACAGACACACTTTTATATTGCTGATGGGAGCATGACGGGGACAGCCTATGACTGCCAATGTGGCAATCTATGATAATTACAGAGACATATCTTTTGGCCCAGCAATCTCAACTTCAGTGAATTTATCCCATAGACGTAGCATCATTCATAGGTATGAACTGACATATGGACAAGATTATTTACTGCACCATCATTTGGCAAAATAGTGTAGCTAAATTAAACTCCTACAAAGGACTTGATGCAACTGTGAGAGAAAATAAGAGAACGAAAAAATGAGGGAGATCTCTGTGTACAAATATGGACAGATCTCCAAGATAATTCGTTAGGTGTTATTGTTGTTATGTGCCATCGAGTTGACCCCGACTCATTGCGACCCCCTCCTTGAGTTTCTGAGGCAGTGTCACTATGGAAGTAGATTGCCCAACCTTCCTTCCAAGGAGTGGCTGGTGGGTTTGAACTGCCAGCCTTCTGGTTAGCAGTC